CCATTTTGAGTCAATCGTGTGGTGGTATCCGTTGGTTGCGGGTCGTCGTTCCAAACGTTGGTAGCAGGTTGCCCTGCGTTGGCCTCAGCGTGAAAGGCACCGGTGCAGTGACCGGGACTGAAGATACCACCAATCTAGCCAGGGGTTCTCTCAGCGATGTGGGCATATGACCTCATGCGTTCAAGTGGAGAGTCAAAGTGTTGCTGGTCCCTCGGCATGTGGTGGTTGAGCGGCTGTAGGAGTTGCTGTGCACGCGACGTCCCCACTCCTACTGGTCGATCCGTTCCCCCGCATGGACTCGGAAGTCAATGAGAGCTGTGCCAGAGTTGAGTTGGCGTTCCTCCTCTCGGTTCTCGAATTTCGTACTTAAGAGGAACGTGATGTAGGTGACGCCATCAGTATGGCGGCCACCTACGTTAACGCCGAAATTGATAACTGCTGGGGGAACTCTCATGGCTATGGTCCGCGCGAAGCCTCTCAAGCCTCGCTGCAATGCTGCAGCTTGTTGGAAGGGTGTCATGGTGCCTGTGGTCACGATGATCCAGGCATGCACCTCGCGAGCGAATTCACGGAAAGGTACTTGACCGGCCGGGTCCCACTGGGGGCCGGTTGTTCTTGTGTCGTGTCCGCCACGCATGTGTCCCACTGCACACCCGATAGCAACCCATATGAGCCCAAAAATAAGTATACCAATCCAATGGCCTCGTTGGTCGTAATCGGATGTGATTAGTTGGGGCTTGTGGTGTGTGGTCGTAAGCCTGCGTGGGGGTGGAGGCGGCGCAATGTCGTATCGCATGTTTCCATGCATTATGTCTTCGAAGCAGTTTCCAAGTGGAGTAGGTGGGTGGACTTCAGGAGTGTAGTAGCGCAGGGATGTAGGACTCGAGTAAGAGGCCTCTGCGTAGGCAGAGGTATCACTGCAAGTGTCCTTGCGGTATTGCACAGTTATGTACATTCCTCCGCGCAGACCCACTGCAACCTGATGTTCACCACGTCAGTAGTCCACCAGATAGCGCCGTGCATGGTGAGGAGTAGAGACTAAAGCAAGAGCTGACCACCATAGGCCAACTCCGCTACCAAATTTGAAATGGGTTGAGAGGCCCAACCAGCAATTTCGCCTCAGGCGAAGCCCCGCTCCAGCTCTGTTGTACAGTAGTAGCGATAGCCCCAGTAGTAGAATATCGTCGCGAGAGCGACGAGCCATCTCAAGCAAAGGATTTGGTCTCGATGGCAAATGGTACACCTCGAGCTGAGGTGTAGTCGGATCTTGGCGGCCGGCCGCTTGAGCACAAACGGCCGCGGACACACGCTCGTTACCTCTCCCGTGTATCCCGGCTCACCTTAGAGTGTCCCACGCCGCGGGGCCTGGAAAACATGTTTTGAGTAGGAGAAACATTGTTTGAGGCCGAAGTTAAGGCATTTTATGATGCTGAAAGAAAAAAGGCCGCTCCCCACGACGACCCAAGAGAGCCCCAAGAGGCCTCTTAAGAAGGCTCTCCAGGCCTCCGAAAAGGCCCCACGAGGGGGGATCCGAACTCACATGTCGAACCCTCCTCAAAGATTGCCCTAAGAACCGCCTGCAGGCGCCAAAATGCCCCAGGAAACCCAAATTGTTCCCCCCACGCACCACGCAAGAGGGCCCCAAGAATGGCAAACATCAGTGATCTCAGTTGGGTTTTTCAGAGCCCGACCGCCCAGGACAGCTCAGGAGGCCGCCAAGATCGCCCCAAGTCAGCCCAAGACGCTCCCAAGATAACCCCGAAACGTCCCAAGAGGGCCCCAACACCTCTCACGAGGGCTCCCGAGGCCCCCAAAAAGGCCACACGAGAAGGAATCCTGAGCTCACATGTCCAGCCGTTCGAAGAAGATTGTTCTTGAGACCGCCAGCAGGCGCCGAAGAAGCTGCCAATAAACCCCCAGGAGCCAAAAGGCTCCCCCGACAAACCCCTCAAGAGGGTCCCCCAAATGGCGATTGTATAGATGTTGTTTGGTTTTTCGAAGATTCTGGCGTCACCGCCTTTTCGGCCCTCCGACCGGCCAGGACAGCTCAGGAGGCCGCCAAGATCGCCCCAAATCAGCCCACGACGCTCGCAACAGAACCCCAAAATGTCCCAAGAGGGCCCCCAAGACGGTCCAAGAGGTCTCTCATAAGGACCCCCGAAGCCTAAACGACAAACAACCATCGCCCATCAGCGCCGCGGTGGGAACGAACACGCTGGCATAGGCCCGCGATGGAATAGTTTGGCCCAGCGGCGGCGAACAATCGAACAAACAACAACAATCGAACAACAACAGTGGATAGTTTGGCCCAGCGACGGAATTTTCGAAAAGATCGAGCAAACAAAAAAAGAAGCGGCGGCGCTTCGCACAAACCAACCCCCCAATACAAATCCTATGTAAGAAGAAATCAGCGGACTGCAGCTAGTCCGGTCAAGTAAAACAGTGCCTCCCTCTACTACAGGTCTGACCGCCGATCTGCGGCACGCCGTTGAGAAGGAAGGCGCCGCAGGGGAACAGAATCCGTGGAGGCGGATGGGGCGAGAGCACCCGTTGAACGTGTTCATGCCGCTATGGCAGCCAGGGGATACTCACCACGAAGCCATGGCAGGCAACCAACGCCGGCCGCCATAGAGGAGGAGGAAGCGGATGGAGTGATGCCATGCGGGCGGTGAGGCGGGCTCATCATGCAATGGGCGATCCACGCGCGCGCGAGGAGGGAGGCAAAGGACGGGAGAAACGGTGGTCAAAAAGAAAATGATGGAGGGATGCCCGGGAAGAAAAACAAAAATAATGCGACAGACGCGTGGGCATGGGGAAAACGCCTGTTCTTCTCAAGCGAGAAGGCAGGTAATGGAAGAGAGGGCATGAACAACCAAACCAGCAGGGAATATTGAGAGAAAGAGGAGGGAAAAAAGGCACCCGCAAAGTTCCCGCGGGAAACGAGATCCGCAGCTGAACCAAGTCGCAACTCCTCTATCGAAGGTCACCGGGTCACTTCCGGGCCTCCCTTGGGGGCGCTGTGGGCCCGAAAAGACATCGGATGACCTCGTCAAGTTACTGTGGCCAACCACAAGTTTTTCCCCATTTCATGATGGCGACGCAAAGATACCTACTGGGGGGCGATCCGCGTGACGGGGTGCAGTGTAGATGATCGCGATCGCGGCCGTGAAGGTTGCCCCGTCGCCATCGCCGCCACAGCCGTCGCCATCGTCTTCGCATCCACGGCGATGCCATCTGTGGCCACTTTGGCGACATCCTGATTTCCGCATGAACCGTCACACGGTCGACCTCTCGAGCGCGGACTTCGATGCTTTCCGCGCCCAGGCGACTGCTGCCTGCTCCGCAAAAGACCGGCGACGTCGCTGTATCAACACAGGCGCTGCGTGTGACTCGGCGCAGGCACCGTAAACACGTAAAATAAGAGGTACTGGCATCGTCCCGTCATGGCGGCGTTATCGCGCGCACCGCGGGCACAGTCGCTCTATCAGCGCAGGCGCCGCACATGACTCGGCGCAAGCACCGCGGGCGCGACAAATAATAGGGTGCAGGCCTCGCCTCGCAATCGAATTGCCAGCGCAGGCGCCGAAGGGGCAATCGACTTATCCACGCGGGCGCTGCGTGCGGCCTGGCGCAGGCACCGCGGCGGGCACGTGAAACAACAGGGCGCAAGCATCTCCCCGCGGTCGCGTTCTTAGCGCAAGCGCCGCGGGCGTCGGGCAAGGGTTTTTACCCGCGCAGGCACCACCCATGGTGAAGGCAGGCGCATCCAGAGCGTCAAATAGTATGGTGCAGGAGTCGCCCTTTCATCGCAGGCACCAGCGCAAGCACGCTGGATATTGTTTTCTATCGGCGCAGGCACGCCAACCCGCTTGGGATTACAATGTGTTCAAGCTCAGGGGGCGGGGGGGAGGGGAAGGGGGGCCGGGGAGCGCGCGCGAAATCTTTGCCTTGTGTCGGCGCCATTGCCTCAAACGGAGCGTCGCGCCCTACGTGAGGGGGAGCGCAGGGCGGGCCAGGCTGGGGGTGGCGGAGGTTCGCGCGCGCACCACTGCGCGCGCAGGAACAAGTAAGCTCTTCATCTGGCCCATGGCGCGTCTGTGACAGGCAGAGAAACATGGCGGCACTGATTGAATAAGTAGACTAGGAGTACGCCTGTTGTTACTAGGAGCATGACTTTGGCTGCCTTCCTCTCCCTCGTCTGGCTATGTGTTTCCTCATTCTCCTCCCCTGTTTGCAAGCCTCTTCGCGGCTGGGGACGCCAAACTGTTATCGCTGCTTCGGATGGAAGACGCGAGCAGGAAGACGCGACAGACAACACGTGCAAGAGACTGATTCTGCAGGCTGCTCCTCCCTCTTCTACCCTCCCCCCGCTTCCCTTCCTGCTGCTCGACTTCGTTGTCCCCCTGCTACTGCTGATGCTGCTGTTCCTCCTCCCCCTCCTCCCACAGCTTCTTGTCCAGCCCCGTGTCCTCGTCCTCGCCCTCCTCGTCCTTGTTCTTTTCCTCCTTCGCTTCCACCTCCTCCTTCTCCCCCTGCCACTACCCTTCTCTTCCTTCTCTTTCTCACCGTCCTCGTTATCCTCCCCATGCCTATTCCCCTTCTCCACCTCACCCTCATAGTCCTTCCCGACTCGCCTTCCTGCTGATGCCACGTTCATATTCACCCTCGCCACCTCCTCCTGCTGCTCCTCCTCTTCGTCCCTGTCCTCTTCGAAGTCTCATTCTTCTGGTAACCCCAGAGCGCCCTCTACAATTCCACCCTTACGTGTTCGAGAAAACAGCCTCCTCCTCCATCCTCTTCCATCCTCCTCGTTCTCCTCCTCCTCACTCTCCTCCTCCTCCTCCTCCTCCCTCATCTCCTCCTCCTTATCCAACCCTCCCCTTTCCTCTTCCTCATCCTCCTTCTCGTCGTCGTCCTCCTCTTCCTGCTGTTTCCCCGCCATCCTCACTCCTCCCCTTATCATCCGCCTCCTCCTCCTCCTCCTCCTTCCGCCGGGAGACCAGGTACACTGCAACCCTCGTGCAGGCGCTCACGTCGGGCCCCGGCGCCAAGATATCCTTCGGCGGCGGCGGCGGCGTGAGAGCAATTGGGGAGGTCTTTAGCGGGAAAGGGGGAGGGAGGAGGATGAGGATGCGACTGAGGAGGAGGGGGAGAAGGAGAAAGGGGTGACGGTGCTGAGGAAGATGTCGCACGAGTTCAACAATGGGTGCTGGAGGCATCCGCGTGCCCGCGCGGCAGCGAGGCCACGCACATTAACACCAACAAAAAGGGCAATGATGGTGAGAGTAGGGCACCCTGTTTGCGTCAACCACTTTCAACATTACGCCTGGCGCAAGGCTTACCCCTCCTTATCCGACCGAGGCACGCCGAATACACTCACTGCCTGCTTGCTTGAACACCAGCATTTCCCCAGGTAGGCCTCGGTGGGACGGAAGCTGGCCTGTCTAACTCTGCTGCAAATTCTCAATCCTTTCTTCGTGGGGCCGACAACTTTGCACGTGCTTGCAAGGTGGCGCCATCTGCGGTCGCAGAGATACCGCAAATCGAGCAAACTCGCAGCACATAGGCCGTCCAAATATGACTGGTTCCCGATTGATCTGTTACCAGCCTCGTGGTCTCTGGTTTCGCCTGGCACCGGGGGCAACCCGAGCAAGACCGTCCTCAGTGAAGATGGTCCTGCTCGGGACATGAATTCCCTGACAATGAATACATTTCATTCGCTCCTCTCCGCTGTTGCAAATTTTACAATTTTGCCCGGAAAGGATGGGGGCCCAAGGTTCTCTCTGTGTGGTCGAGCTTTTGGCCATAGACTGGAAGGGTGACGAGCAGGAGGGGGAGGAGGGGGAGGAGGAGGAGGAGGAGGAGGAGGAGGAGGAGCCATTCGCTTGAGACATCCTCGCAAACTGGGGATGCTGCTTACGACGTTGGTTCCCAAGCATGAAGCTTAGCCCGAGACATCCCCAGAACATCCCACAAGCTCTTTATGGCGTGAGTTGTTTAAAACGTTTCCTCTTTCAACCTCCCAGGGGTGCCAAGCGCGTGTGGCGCGCCTGGCACGCGTGGCGCACCTCGCCCCAGCGTCGCGCGCATGGGGACGGTTTTGGGTCCCAGTAGCTGCCCATCCAAAGACGACCGCTGAACATGCTGAGGCTCGGGACTTACTCATGTGTTGGGAGGGCGGCTACACGGCTGGCTATCTAGGAAGGTGTCTTGACCCCGTCCCCTACCCCCTCCCCTGGACCTGGACCGAGGGTTCCGCGAGGCGTTGGAGCGTCGAAGATGGCCTCGGCGTGTTGGGCCAATTTTGGCATCCTGGGTGGAGGGGACCTAATTGACGACTTCCTTCTTCTTTGATCGAGCTTCTCCAAGATGGCCGTAAAATTACCCCCAAGAGGGCCCCGAGAGGCGCCCAGGAGGCCCAGGAGGCTCCCAACAGGCCCCGAAGAGGCTCCTAAGAAACCCCCAAGAGGCTCCCCCAAGGCACCCAAGCCGCTCCAAGAGGCCCCCGGGACCGCCAAGAGGCCACCGAGAAACCCCAAGAGGGCCCCCAGAAACTCTCAAGAATCAACCGGAGACATCCTGAGAGTCATCAAAAAGGCCTCTGGCCTTTCTGCTCGCCTTCCTCCTCCTCCTCTTCCTCCTCCTCCTGCTCCTCCTCTTCCTCCTGCTCCTCCTCCTCCTCCTCTGCTCCTCCTCCTCCTCCTCCTCCTCCTCCTCCTCCTCCTCCTCCTAATCCTCATCTGCCTATTCCTCCTCGTCCCTTCTCCGTCCTCCCCCCCGCTTCGCCTCCTCCTCCTCCTCCGATTCCTCCCCCATCCTTCCCCTTATATGTACGACGGCTTCCCCAGCCTCCAGCCCCTTATTTCACGACGTGCTCCTCCGCATCCCTGATCAAGGCAAACCGCCTGGGCATCGTTTCTGGATGGGCTGGTCAGGTTACTTGAAGCGTCTACAATTGAGATGAGGCCGACTATCCATGATGGTGTGGGGGAGCGTCTCGCCGAGTGTGGTTCAGGTGTTGGTTGTGGTGGACATTATTCGAAGCACGTTAATAGTATCGAACAGTGACTGTGACTAGAACTGGTCTGAGCGTACTTGATAATCGGTGGCCTCCGAAAAATAATATCAATTCAGGACCATGACTATGACTGTAACTGGTCTTGGTCTTGGTAATTCGCGACTATGACTTTGACTGTGACCAGTCATGGTTATGGTCCAGGTGGAGTCGCATTATTCGAATGCATTCGGAATAATGCAACCAAAACAGAACCATGACCAGGACTAATCCTGGTCACAATTGTGGTTCGGGTTGCATTCATATTATCATAATAATATTAATGCGCATCGACCCAGAGCAGAACCGTGACCAGGACCAATCCTGGTCACAATTGTGGTTCGGGTTGCATTAATAATATCATAATATTATTAATGCCAATCGACCCGAACCAAAACCGTGACCAGGACCAGTCCTGGTCACAGTTGTGGTTGGGGTTGCGCTAATAGTGTTATAATATTACTAATGCCCATCGACCCGAACCAAAACCGTGACCAGGACCAGTCCAGGTCACAGTTGTGGGTGGGGTTACATTAATATTATTATAATTTAATAAAAGGCCCATCGACCCGAACCAGAAACTTGACCAGGACCAATCCTGGCCACCATTGTGGTTGGGGTTGCAGTATTCCCATTATTATTATTATTAAATCAATGCCCATCGACCCGAACCAGAAACGTGACCAGGACCAGTCCTGGGCACAGTTGTGGTTGGGGTTGCACTAATATTATTCAAATATTAGTGATGCCAATCGACCCGAACCAGAAACGCGACCAGGACCAATCCTGGTCACAATTGTGGTTGGGGTTGCAGTAATATGTTATAATATTATTAATGTCAACCGACCCGAACCAGAACCGTGGCCAGGACCAATCACGGTCACAATTGTGGTTGGGGTAGCATTAATATAATTATAATACTATGAATGCCAATCGACCCGAACCAGAAACGTGATCAAGACCAGTCCTGGTCACAATTGTGGTTGGGGTTGCATTAAATATAATTATAATAAAAATGCGGATCGACCCGAACCAGAACCGTGACCATGACAAGTCATGGTCACAATTGTGGTTGGGGCTGCAATAATATAATTATCATATTATGAATGCCCATCGACCCGAATCAGAAGTCGAGCCGTCGGCGGCTCCACTTCTGGACGTGCTCGGAAGGGCCCGCGTCCTGGGCAGCCTTATCTATGCCGCAGGGGCCCCCGTCGCTGTCGGCCTCCGTGAAGACGTTGGCGGCGTCGGCCTGTCCGACGTCAGACGCGCGCGCCCTGCGCCGCACTTCCCCCCTCTCGCCCTGGGCTTTCTTCTCGGGGAGCATGCCCTGTTCGCGCGCCCGTGCCAGTGGGCGGCCGACGAGCGGGGAGTCGAACCAAGCTTTTCGGGTCAGGCCGTCAGCGTCGCTAGTCTCGACCCTGCGCTGCAAGTGGGCGCCGTCAGTGCGGCGGTGTTGCGCGATCCACACGTCGGGCTCGGCCTCGTCGTCCTCGTCGTTGCCCCCGCGCTTCGCGTGGTACAAGCTGCCCTGCAAGGGACTGAACGGACACGGTTCTGATACCCAGAGGCCGAGTTCGGGGACGCGGGCGCGGCCCCCGTCCAAGCACGCGCAGACGAACCACTTCATGCCGCGCTTCCCGTCTAGCCCGAACAGATTGGAGCAAGTGGCGCAATTTTGCACGCGTAGCAAGAGCCACTTGTGCACGAACCGCTTGCGGATCATACCGCGCAAGGAGAAAAGCCACTGGTCAGTCAGATTTCGGTCTTGATGGCACCACGGTGTCCAATCTACATCGCCCACCTCTGCAGCGGCTAAAAATGTCGACGGCATGGAAGGCACCCACAAGGGCACAATCACCCGCGCCCTGAGATTGGCAGGGCCAGCCGCCTCCAACTTCGGACACCCGCTCTCCTCTATCAGCATTCCCGCTACTGCTGTGAAAGGCCCTCGCGCATGATGCAGCACGTGGCGCACTCGGCGCATGTCCTCCGCTGCCAGGCCGACGCAGTGCCTTCCATGAGCGGAAGAGAAGCCAACGAAGTACGGTTCTGGACATCCCGATGGCGCAAGACACAACTTTCGGATGTCACCTAGATCTGCCGAGTTCCGTTGGTAAGACCAGCACCCCATGTAGAACGTCCCACATTGTGAGCAGTGCCTTTTCAATGCAGCATCCTTCTACCGTGCCGTTCCTGGATGAATGTAGTTTCAAAGGTAACTCCTCAACATGAACATCGAAGGCTTGATTGCAGCATTGCGGTTTGCCGGGGCGCGCTTGATACGGTGCAATGCACGATGGCGCTGGAGGAAGATACTGCGGGAAAAACCTCTGCATCTTCTCGTGCGCAAGCTGAACATCTTTCCGGCTTGGAGTTGCATGGCCCAGATCCCGCAAAATCGCCAGTGCCCCGCCCACTCTATACAAATGTCCGTACGTGGCGCTCGCCAAAACAAGCGCTGATAAGCCTGGCAGAGGCATTGGTAACAATGCAGCCTTGAGCTCTTCCACTTCTCTGCGGCGCGCCATGATTGCACTGGACCCTCGAGACGCGGCTGGGGCAAGACTGGCTACGGAGGAGGACGAGGCAGGAGGGTGAACGGAATCAATTGGCCCTGTGTAGCCGCACTGCGAGCCTAACGTGCTGGGCAGGACTCAAGAATCGACTGGGCCATTCATGGTTCAATGGCCCCCATATGGGCCTCGTGTTCTCTGCGCGAGCCTTTGCGTGCGAGACGGTGGAGACGCGCTGCGTGGTGCCGCGTCGGGGTGCCACGTGGCCGACTGCAGAACCCTGGAATCAAAAACCGTTGACGCCCCGCTGTTGCTTCCGCCGCCCTCCGCTGGGCTTCCGCCGGCGGGCTCTTCCGCCGTTTTGCTTCCGCCAGCTTCCGCCGAAAGCGGAGATGCGGCGAAGGTGAGGCCATCTCTGGAGCGCGCCACGCGTTGACTTGTGTGTTGGACCAATATCTGAGAAATGACAATGCCCTGTGCTGCTAAATCTCGCACAAGCGGTCAAGGGACACAGGGCCAGGGGCTTCCCGGCCTTGAGAAGCCAAGGCCGCCGCGCAACCCAGCGAACACTGTTCGAGCGAAACGCTCGATGCTCTACCTGCGCTTGGCCCGACAAAGCTCGAATCGATACCACCTGCCGCAATGACTTCGCCAACTGGCTTTGACGGTGCTGCGAGAAACTCCCATGCTCGAAGCGGCCCACTTGCGATTTGCATCATGGGTGATTCTCGCGTCCGGCGACGCCTTGAGGCCCGTCCGGTCTGGCAGGACTTAGGCACCACGACCCCCAACGCAACGCACCCTGCGCGCGCTGAACGTCCAGCTGTTGCAATGCAACGGCGAGAGGTTGCACCTGCAACGTGCCTTTTACGCGCAGAATCTGTGTGAGGGTGAGGAGGACCAATGGACCGACCCCACCCCCGAGTGTCCGTCGGTAGACGATGAGGGACGATGGTTTTACCCAACGTACCTCCAAGTATCGAGTACCTGTCATCCGAGCCAAGAGGGGCGATGGATATGAGCAAGATAGGAGGAAAGTAGGGGGATTCACACACACCCCCCGTCCCGATCCCGCCCGATGCCAACGCACAAAAGCGAAAGGCACCGAAGCGGGGATCGGGATAGGAGAGTGAATCTCTACTGAACTCCTGTCTGCAATCCACTGCTTCGGCCCAGGAAGGAAAGGAAGGGACAGCCAAAGCTCTGTCGTAAGGTTCGTACCCAACGGCGGCGCTAACCTGCAAAAAGTTTTACAGCGCCAGCCGCCGAGATAGAACCCAGGACAGTGCTGTGGGCTGGAGAGAAGTGGAATGGAGAGACTGAACTCTTATGACACCGACCCAAACGGTCGGTGCCCGAAGCAACACATGATAATCATGAATATGAAGTCTTCAATCCAATACCAAATCAAAGTAATCAAATCAGTCACGGTACGAGGGTGGTGAAAATCTTTTTATGCAAGTTCCATATCCAATCTGTACCAGATGCAATATGTACGTCTTGCCACAGTTCAAATCTAAAGGATATTTATGCAATTGTGCATTATGCGATTTTTTTTTTGAATCTATATGAGTAGTATTATCCCATCATGAGGATAGCTGTCACCATAAACTTTCTCACAGTTGTTGAGTCCATGAAGAGGAAGAATCCTTGAAGTGATATACTGATCAAAAGGTAAGTGCGAGCGTCCTCGAATACTACATGTCATCGAAGAAAATGATATAATGCATCAATAGGCACATCAACAATACGACAAAGTTGGAAGCCATTCAAAATCTTATGGGCGGCATGGCAACCAGTTTCCTGGTGCGTCAGCGTGGAGGGTCCCAGCGCCATGATCTGCCCGTATATTTCCCCGATGTGTACTTCTTATTCCATGCAGTCGCGCCCCATCCATTATTGGCGAACGGATCCCACGCTTTGATCCAGATGAACTCGCCCCAATGGTCGTACCACTGGCGGTCATACGGTGCAATTTGCCTGTCATAATAGTGGGCACCGTATTCAGCACTGTACCCGTGGGTCACATTCGAAATGGCGGGGCGCTTTGCCAGAGGTGGTCCATCATCGGGACGCGCAGGCGCATATCTGGCAGCGGAGGCGGTATGGCCATGGCTGTCGAACGCGCCGGAAGAAGTACGATACTCGGATGTGTGTGGTGGTGGCTGGGGGGTTGGATCGGTCCCGCTCCCCCTAAAGTCACCCCCACTACTGCTTCCTGGAGCGTTGCCGCTGCGGTTTCCCGCTGCACTGGCGGTCTCCTGAAGCTGAGAGTAGTATTCTTCGCGCTCTCGCTTAACACCGGATCGGATCTCGTCCCGGGACCCAGTCAAAGACTGTGGGTGTGCACGAATTTCTGCGGCGGTGATGGCACCGCGGAGAGATTCGCCCGGGACGTGAACGGTAAGGTGGTTGCGCTGAAAACGTTCACGAAGTGTTTCGGCTCCAAGGTTCGGCGCTCCGACCTCTTTCCTCTTTTTGGAGGCCTGCCAGAGGCGATCGGCCTCAGTGGCAACTTCTAACGTCCATGCAACCCTACCAGCCTGAGTCCGAACTGTTGTCATCTGCTCACGAAACTCATCATCCTCCGCAAAGCGCTGTGCTAGAGACATGTATGGATGATACATGGGAGGATAATTTGGATTCTCAGGCGGGATGCCGTCCGCGTCGGCGTCTGCACGTAGCTTGTCGCACTCCTCCCGAGATGGAGAATTCCAAGCTAGCCACTTCTGATGCCGTTTGTCAGCTTTCTTCCCCATGTTTTGAAGCTCGTCTTTAGCGTCTGTCTGTGGCTTCTTCGAGCCACGCGTATCAATGGGGGCAGCTGTGATGCGCTGGGCGACGTCATCCGGCTGAGTGGCGGCAAACGCAACGAACTGTTCTCGCCAGGCCGCAACTTCGTCCGGCCATTTGGAGTTCTCGTACCTCATGCAAAAGGCACATTTCAGAGTGGCCCCAGGCGTGTCCAAATCAGCTGGCATCCGAGCGTTGCAAATTGCGCAAGACGGGATGCGAGTCTGTAGCTCTGGAGGTGCCAGTCCTGTGCTCTCGTCGAACTGAACGACCCCTGCGAGCAGGGTCGCGAAATTCTCCTGAGATACGCTCCCACCTGGCGCAGAGACGATTTGGCGGGCCCGATCGAGGTGATCAGGTTCAAGTGGGGCAAAGATCTTCTCGTCGTCTTCGTCCAAGATCTTGTCAAGGTCGCTGCGGTTTCCCGCTGCACCCTGAGACTCGGCGGAGGCGGAAGCAGCGACAGCCTGGTATGCATCTTGGAGAACTTGAGTGGCGAGTGTGCGTTGTGATAACTGTGAACCAACGACAGATTCAATAACGGTTTTGGTAGCCTCCACATTGTCTTGCGATGCTAGGGTTTCCCCTTGCTTCGTAGCCAATGTGGAAATCTTTCCGTCGTGGGGCGCCTCATTCACGAACTCATCCTCCACATAGGTCTCTGTGCCCATGCGGAGTGCAGCAAGGCCAGGATGATTCTGCACAACCTCGGCGTTCTCAATGTCGATGAGTGCAAATTTGTCGCCAGCCTGCTGGTAGAGGTTCAAGTATGCCATGGCGCACCATGAACGTCTGCCGTATGCCAGGGTTCTGTATCGGAAAGTACCAATGCACTGGAAAAGGTACTTTGTGAAAGCTCTGTGTCCACATTGGTCTGGGAAACGGTGACACCATGGTGCATCGCAGTTGAACTCGAAGGTCATTGTTGTATTTGCGATATCGTCCATGTTCAAGACAACGGTGTACTCCATGGTCTGCTTCACTTTGGTGTTAACGACACCGTGATGCCCAGATCTACGAACAATGTGGACTTTCTTGACTGCTTTGAAATAGTCTGGTAGGTCGGACTGATCTGGTCCATATGTGAGAGTTTTCTCCGCGTTATCCTCCATTGTTTCGATTTCATTGCGGATATCATTCAGCTCTGGGGACCAGTCATCCTTCTTGAGGAAGTCATCATCAGCATGTTCTGGAACATGTGGCACAGTGTCACCATTGCTGCGATTTCCCGCTGCGCCGTCATCATAACTTTCCTCTGGAAAATCCGTTGGTACAGGGATTTCGGTCGGCGAGCTCTGGTCCTGTGTGGGGACCGGCATCTCTGTAGGTGAACTGTGATCGTCTGCCGCCAGAGGGTGATCCTCCGCTGCCGGCGGAGGATAGTCGGGCGAGTGTGGAGTGATAGTCGGCGACGGAGGGTCAACTGCCATTGGTGTCGGTTCTGGTACGACTGTCGGCGATGACTGGGCCGGAGGTACATCGTCAGTGGGCACGTCCAAAGACTGAGGGCTCCTGATCAATTTAAGCAATTCACCTGGCTCAGCTTCACGAGCATCTATGTCGGCGACCTCCTCAACCTCTGGGGGCTGTTGACTGGGGGCGCTGCGGTGTCCCGCTGCACTAGAGGCGTCTGTATGCCTCTGGCGCAGTGGAGCACGAAGATCTCCCACAGCCCTGACGTCACTGGTCGGCGTCATGATCGCATGACGGGGTGGAAAGTTAACTGGGGGACCGAAGCGAAGGTCATCTGGGAGTGAGTTGGCGTCAAAGTCTGGGCAAGGTACAACGCGGGCAAGCGTGTTGCCCGCCAGCATGCCCTTCGTGCCATCCCAAACGTTCATCCAGTGATCTCCGATTTTCACGGTCACGTATCCCATGAACTGGCCTACCTCGCGAATGGGTCCGAATAGGGATCCCATTGGTTCGCCTTCATGAGGGCTAACGCGCTCGCCAACCCAGGAACCATCTGAGTGTTTCGATGGCGGGTGAGAGTAAAAGTAGCAAGCTTGTCTTGTTTGAACGTAGTCTCCAATCCGATAGGTCTCGTGGGGACCCATGGGCGGCCAGGCTGACGTGATGTGGCTAACGCGGCCCTCAGTGGCAGCCTGTAGAAACCATTGGTCGTAACGCTCGTGAATCTGACGATTACGCTCGCGCTCCTGGTCTGTTGTCAACTGCGAAGCTGCGGTTTCCCGCTGCATAACAGTTGGTATAGAGACGTCAGGGGCGGATGTGTCGCCAGACTCGTCACGATGTGCTCGGATCGGAGGTGCCACAGGGCGGATGTTAACCAACCCGACGGCCTTTCTAGCCGCTGTTAAGGCATTGATTGCATCAGCGAGTCTACTCTGTGTCCTCAGCAGCGCGGCCTCGGACTTAGCAAGGGCGGCTTCCCTCTCGGTGGCCTTCTGGGCAGCAGCCGCGGCCGCGTTGTGTGGGTCTAACGTGAGGCCCTCAACTCCCTCGGAGACTTCTTCCACGGCTGTATCTCTCGGCGCGGCGGTCTCCCGCTGCTCCGCTGCGATC